TATCTTTTCAATCGTGAATTTCCCGGTGACGGCGCTGCGACTACCCCTAGGCATATCGATTGTCGCATTACTACAATGTGTTGCTCTGTGCTTCTCCTCCTCGCCCTCCTCCTTGCCCTTACCCTCTTCCCGACTGGAGGCGCCAGCAGCATCGGCAATCATAGCAGAACCCTCACCACCCCTCCACATCCCTCATCCCGCCTCATCCCACATTCCGCATTCCTCGTCCTCCATTCTCCCAAGATCTCAGGGGCTTGTCATTCAACACATCTGAGGTTGAACTGTTCGGGCACCGCCATCGCCCCTCTCAAAAACAACTTCGCAAGTGAGGAGGACGGCGAAGGCGCTCATCCGTCTCCTCCTCTTCCACCTCCTCCTCCTCCTCCTCCTCCTCCTCCTCCTCCTCCTCCCTGCTCCTTCCTCCTCATCCTCCTCATCATCACCCTCTTCCTCGTCCTCCCTCCTCATCATCCTCATCCTCATCACCTCTTCCCCGTCCCTTTCCTCTTGCTGCTCCTCCTACTCCTCCAGCTCGCGCTCCTCCTCACCCTGCTGCTGTTCCCTCCTCCCCCCTCCCCCTCCCTCCTCCTCCTCCTCCTCCTCCTCCTCCTCCTCCTCCTCCTCCTCCTCCTCCTCCTCCTCCTCCTCCTCCTCCTCCTCCTCCTCCCCGTCCTCCTCACGCTCCTCACACCCCTCACACTACCACACTACTTCGGCGGGGGGTCCGCGAACGGGTGCTCGCTGGCCAGCGGGCCCCCGGACCGCTTTAGCGGGCTTGGGGTCACAAGGCGCCCTGAGGGCCGCGGTGAGCGGCGGCCACACCGGGGCACGAACCTGGACCACCCCTGCGCGGCGACCCTGCCCCCCACCCCCCCTCTCTGTGCCACTGCCGCGGGGCACGTGGTCGAGGTGGGCAAGTGCACAAACGACCATGGGCAGTGGAGGGGAAGAAGCGGTGACCATGACCAAGACTGAACGCGGCAACGTCGGTGTCGATCTTTGTTATCGTTCATCTTGGTCACTGTAATTTCGTGCATGATCCTCGCGAACTGGCGACGGCCAGCATGGACAATGACCAACATCAACGTCGAGAAGATTCCGCGACATGGTCTTGGTCTTGGTCATGGCCATCGTGGGAGACCAGGAACGGAGCCTCCTCTGGGCGCGCGAGGAGCGCCGGAGGAACACCAGTTGCAGGGCCTAAGGAACATACCATCGATCTCCTTCAGAGGCCAGGCAGGACCTTGTGGCAAACGTTTGCCAGTAGCCGCGGGGCGGACGATAAGGGGGGTGGACAGTGAAGTGGGGGTTGGCGAAGCAACTGCTGCAGCCAGCTATTCCCAGCGCTGAAGAGGCGACGGCGGTGCCAGTGTATCGAGGAAAACGCCCGGCGGCGGGGCCGAAACCAGCCGCGTGCAACAGATGTCGTGGCCCCTTCTTCCCGAATCCCCCGTTTGGGTCCGACCCGAGTCTCCCCATGCTTCTCACCTTGCTGATTCTGCTCCTAGTCCTCCAGCTCCAGCTCCAGACCCTCCTCCTGCTGTTCCCCCACCCCCTCCTCACGCTGTTCATCTTCCTCCCCCTCCTTCTCCTCCTCCTCCTCCTCATCCTCCTCCTCCTCATCATCATCATCATCATCATCACCCATCATCATCATCACCATCATCATCATCATCATCATCATCATCATCATCATCATCATCATCATCATCATCATCATCATCATCATCATCATCATCATCAGCATCATCATCATCATCATCATCATCATCATCACCATGATCATCATCATCAGCAGCATCAACAGCAGCATCGTCATCGTCATCGTCGTCGTCATCATCATCATCATCACCATCACCACCTCCATCACCATCACCATCACAATCACCATCACCATCACCACCACCACCATCATCATCTTCATCATCATCTTCATCATCAGCAGCAGCGTCATTATCGTCATCATCGGCATCATTATGACCACCACCACCATCATCATCATCATCATCAACATCATCATCATCAGCATCGTCATCATCATCATTGTCATCATCATCGACATCATCATCATCCTCACAATCGTAATCATCATTATCATCATCATCAGCAGCATCATCATAGCATCATCATCAGCAGCATCATCATTAGCATCAGCATCATCAGCATCATGTTTATCCTCCTCGTCCTCCTCTATCCCCTCGTGGGTCCGATCCGAAATTTGGGCCTACTGCGCCTCCTTGCTGTTCCCCCACTCCCTCCTCATGCTGTTCCTCTTCCTCCCCCCTTTCCTCCTCATCATCCTCATCAGTAGCATAATCAGCAGCAAGGTCATCATCACCATCACCATCACCATCACCATCACCATCACCATCACCATCACCATCACCATCACCATCATCATCATCATCATCATCATCATCATCATCATCGTCATCATCATGACCACCACCACCACCACCACTATCATCATCATCATTATCATCATCATCAGCATCATCATCAGATTCATCATCACCATGATCATCATCATCATCATCGTCATCATCATCATCATCATCATCATCATCATCAGCGTCGTCATCGTCATCATCATCAGCATCAGCATGTTCATAATCATCATGTTAGGTATCATCATCATCGTCTTATAATCGTCATCATCAGCATCATCATCGTCATCATCATCATCATCATCATCATCATCAGCATCATCATCATCATCCTGTTTCTCCTCCTCGTCCTCCTCTACCCCCTTTTGGGTCCGATCCGACATTCGGGCCTACTGCACCTCCTTGCATCTGGACAGGTCGAGACGGAGCGCGCCATGCGGCAGGCTCCGCCGTCGGGGCTCCTCGTCCGCACCGAAAGACGAGATCTGTGTCCTCGCTGGCTTCGCGTCGGAGCCACCTCCCGGCCGCTCTGCACGGGGGGGGGGGTCCCGGCCTGGCCAGCGTACGGCAGGCTCGTGTCGTGACGACCCAGGCGGTGGTCGCCTGACACCGCGTGGATCGTTCAATCTTGAACGAACGGCGGCCTTCCGATCGCTGGATCGCTCGATATTGGCCGATGCCGGGCCAACGGCGGCGTTCCACCCGGAACGCCCGCGGCGAGGTCGCAGCCATGTCAGCACGACACGACCCTACTGTAGAGGGAGGAGGCATCGCGCGAGACCAGCCGTGCCACGCGCACGCTTCGGGGCGGTGGCCCGGGAGGCCAGAGATGGAACTCCTCCCGGACTCCTCCCCCTCCGCCTCCAGCTGCTCTTCCCTTCTGAAGACATTCCTTGAGGCCTCGCGCGGCAACTTGAGACCCGATTTACCTCGGATCCACGTCGTATTCACGTCGGACTTACGTCAGACTACGTCGGAGTTACGTCGGATTTACGTCGGACTGATGCTGGAGCATCGCCACGCGAGCGTCGATCTATAGCTTACGGAGCTGACGTGTGGTCTAAGATAGTACAACTATTACGCGCCGCGCGAGGCCTTCAGGATTTTCCTCATAACTTCCCCCCTCTCGGTTCAAGCTTCAACTCAGTCCAGGGCCAGCCCAGAAACCGACCAGCCTGATGCGGAGATCGGACCGACCGGCCCGGCCCCGCAGGCCCGGCACTGCCGCAGCCCAGCTCCGCGAACGCTCGTCACCGAACGCCCCTCAGGGCTGAGGGGCAACGATAGGGGGGGATAGGCATAGGGGGGGATGCATCGACCTGGAATCGGCGATACATCGTCGATAGATCGGCGATAGGCCCCCGATGGTGAATCCGCACCTTCCTGGGCGGTGGGGCTATCAGGTCCCTATCGGCGATCAATGGGCGATGGGGGTTAGATGCATCCACCAGTATTCGGGGGCGCGCAAACATGGATTAGCGATCCATGGATTTGGCGCGCGGCATCTCCCCCCAAATGCGGCCGTAGCCGCCTCGTTCGGCGGCGGAACTCCGCGGCTCCCCATAGAAGCGGGACCCGTCGCTGATCCACGCCCCTTGACCCATGTTTGCAATCGCCTGACTGTCGGCGATCAATGGGCGATGGGGGGTCGATGCACCCAGCCCGATGCCTATCCCCCCTTATCGTTGCCCCCGAGGGGCTCGCTGGACACGGGGCCCGACGGGGGTCCGGACCGGCGATGTGCCGACCATTCGCAGACCTACCGGCCTAGGCCTGTCTGGCCCAGACCCCCTCGCGCTGTGAGAAAAACACAACGGGAGGTTTTCACAATTTTCTTCCTCCTCCTCCTCCTCCTCCTCCTCCTCCTCCTCTCGTCGTCGTCGTCGTCCTCGTCGTCGCCGTCGTCGGAGGAGGAGGGAAAAAACACGTCGGCCTTCAGGCCCTTACCGGGCCTCGGGACCGTCAAACAACGGCTGCAGGATGAAAAACCGGTCCTGGGGGATGGGTCGGGACCTCTGGGGGTCAACGCTGCGAAAAATCACGTCGGGAGTCTGGGAACCAGACCGCAACGCCAGTGACGGGACCGACAGGCCCTGCAAGAGACTGGCTGCCCCTCCCTCCATCCCTCCCTGGGTAAACTGGGTGAACGTTGAAAGTCCAAGCGCAGAACGTGAACACTCTAGAACAGAACGAGACAGCTACCTCCCTGCAGAGCCCTGCTGCTGGAGGCGCTTCACCATCTGGCCCCCTTCCCTCCTCCCTCCGACCCTCCCTCCCTCCATTTCCTCCTCCCCTCCTCCTCTCCTCCTCCCTCTCTCCTCCCTCCACTCCCCCCCTCCCTGCGGCGCACGCCCGCGGCCGCCTCCGAGGCCACCCCCCCGAGTAGAGCTCGCCCACGCCTTCCTGCCTCCCGCGGGCCCCCGCGGGGGCCCCCGGGACGGAATGCCGCCGAAATGGCACCGCTCGTGAGCGGCGAACACCGACCAGCCATAACTGGGGGAGCTGTGGTCCTTACCCCCCTGGGGGGACCGATCGCATCGACGATCTCTCGAGAGGGGTGTCCACATCGATGGGCCCCCCAGGGGGGGGCAGGAACACAGCTCCCCCAAGTGTGGCTGGCCTGGAACCAGATCCACGACCGCGCCCTCGCGGTCTAGATTCCGGGGCGCGACCCCGCGGATCCACTGTCACACGGATACGTTCCGCGCGGGGCATCCTTTTTTAGTCAGCGGCCGCGGGCGAGCGCGCTGGCGGCGAGTCAGGTCAGAGCGGGCTACGCAGAGACTAATTAAGCAGAGGCAGCGCGAACAGGCTATAACTAGCGGGGTAAGCCGAGGCCTCACGCGGCGGCCCAGCGGCGGGCGGGTGGCAGGGCGCGGGGCATCCGCCGAACAACAAAAACCGTGTCTGCGGGGTCGCAGCCCAGGGGGCCGGCCCACGAGGCCGCGGATGGGGATGTGCGTTTCGCCCACGCGCTGCCGGGGGAGGCAGGACAAGCGAGGTCATCGCGAGGTCGCGAGGGCCCTCGCAGGAGCCTCAGGGCCCTCCAAGCATGAACGCTGCCAACCCGGACTTCGAGAAGTCCGCCTGCAGAACGCAAAGACCTGATGATGTCTGGACCCGCGGGTGCAGCTTTCGCGGGCGCGCCCAAATCCTGGTTTACCGACGTCCCCGTTGTCCAACCCTGAGAGCCCCAGTGGAGACCCCCGCCAGAGCGAGGCGCGAGCGGCGAGAGAGGCAGCGGCCATCGCCCGCCCACTGCAAGGGCGGGGGGGGGGCTCACGCTTCACGCTCTGTGGCCGCACCCTTTGAGGGGCAGAGCGTGCTTTCCTGGAACAGGCCCCGCAGCCTGGAGCGCAGGGAAGCCTTGCCCTCGGCCCTCGAGGGTCGACGATGTCGTTACCGTCGACGAGTCGTCGAAAAGTCGTCGAAGACATCGAAGTCCTAGTCGTCCTCGTCGACGAGGACTTGACGACCTCGACGTCCTCGTCGACGACCTCGTCGAGGGGGGAGGTCTTTGAAACGTTTCTCCTGCTGCAAATTCTTGCCCTTGTCGGGCCTCGGGAGGCCTCCGAAGGCCGAGGCCTCCAGGGACCTCCAGGGACCTCCTCGATCCTCCTCCTCCTCCTCCTCCAAACCTCCTCCTCCTCCTCCTTCAACTCGCATCCTGCAATTATCCGCCTCCTCCTCCCCCTCTAGCGGCGGACTAAACGCAGGGAGCATTGAGCCCAAAGCAAGGATGCTCAGAATCGCGTGCTACCCATTCCATCAGAACTGGTCAAATCGTATAGGCATACACCCCTTGGAGGCGGCCTGGGGGTCTGAACCGGGTGGGCCCCGAAAGAATCTGTCAAGAAGGAGGGACAAAAAGACAAAACCGCTCAAAATCGGCCTCCCGAAGACCATTCGCTTTTCACCCCAGATCCGTGACTGACTGACTGACTGACTGACTGACTGACTGAACGTCGACTGATCATGTCTGACAACACATTTCAAACCACCCGCGGGAGCGCGCAGCCGCAACCATGCGATACATTTCAACCCGCCCACGCAACCGCAACCGCAACCACAACCAGGCGACACAATCCAACCCGCCCGCGCAACCGCAACCACAATCGAAACCAAATGACAAATTTGAACCCGCCCGCACAAACGCAACCGATCCCACAACCAAGCGACACATTTCAACCCGCCCGCGCAAGCGCAACAGGAACCCGGCGACACATTTCAACCCGCCCGCACACAACCAAAACCGCAACCAAGCGACACATTGCAACCCGCCCGCGCAACCGCAACCGCAACCGCAACCAGGCGACACATTTCAACCCGCCCGCGCAACCGAAACCACAACCAAGCAACACAATTCAACCCGCCCGCGCAACGAAACCGCAACCGCAACAAGGCGACACATTTCAACCCGCCCGCGCAACAGCAACCGCAACCTCAACCCGGCGACACAATCCAACCCGCCCGCGCGCGTAACCGCATCCACAACCAGGAACCACATTTCAACCCGCCCTCACAGCCGCAACCGCAACCGAACCCGGCGATACATGTCAACCCGCCCGCGCAACCGAAACCGCAACCGCAACCCAACGACACACTTCAAACCGCCCGCGCAACCGCAACCGCAACAAGGCGACACATTTCAACCCGCCCGCGCAACCGCAACCGCAACCGCAACCAAACGAGACATTTCAACCCGCCCGCGCAACCGCAACCGCAACCGCAACCAAAGATCACATACAAAGCGGGCAGCACAAACGCAACCACAACCGCAACCAAGCGACACAAGTCAACCCGCCCGCGCAACCGCAACCGCAACAACAACCAAGCGATACATTTCAACCCGTCCGCGCAACCGCAACCAAACCGGAACCGCAACCCCGCGACACAATCCAACCCGCCCGCGCAACGGCAACCGCAATCGAAACCAAATGACAAATTTGAACCCGCCCGGACAACCGCAACCGCAACAACAACCCAGCGACACATTTCAACCCGCCCGCGCAAGCGCAACCAATCCGCAACCGCAACCCGGCGACACATTTCAACCCGCCTGCATAGACGCAGCCGCAACCACAACCAGGCGACACAATCCAACCCGCTCGCGCGCGCAACCGCAACCGCAACCAAGCGACACATTTCAACCGGGCTGCGCAAATTCAACCCGCCCCCGCAACCGCAACCGCAACCGAACCCGGCGACACATGTCAACCCGCGGGCACACAACCAAAACCGCAACCGCAACCAGACGACACATTTCAACCCCGCAACGCATCCGCAACCGAAGCCGCAACAAGGCGACACATTTCAACCCGCCCGCGCAACTGCAACCGCAACCGCAACCAAACGACGCATTTCAACCCTGGGCGACACATGTTTTAACCGCCCGCGCAACCGCAACCGCAACCAGGCGATACATTTCAGCCCGACCGCGGACGCGCGCATCCGCCACCGCCCGTCGCCGGCGCGTGCTCGGCGCCCCCACTGCGCGTCCGAAGCGCCCGCCCTGCGGCGTTCTTGGGTTGCGCGAAAGGGGCGGGGAGGACAAAGAGGACGCTGAGCAGGAGTAGGAGGTGGAGGAGGAGCAGGAGGAGGAAGAGGAGGAGGGGTGGGGGAGGAGGAGGAGGTGGAGGAGGACGAGGAGCAGGAGGCAGGAGGATCAGGAGGCGTTGGAGGAGGTGGAGGAGGAGGGGAGGAGGAGGAGGAGGAGGAGGAAGAACAAAAGGAGAACGATGGGGGGGAGGGGGGGGCAATGAAGACGAAAAGGAGGAGGAGCAGGAGGAGCAGGAGGAGGAGCAGGAGGAGGAGCAGAGGAGGAGGAGGAGGAGAGGAGGAGCGGAGGGAGGAGGAGGGAGGAGGAGGAGGAGGAAGAGAAGGAGAGGGAGCAGGCGAAGGAGTAGGAAGTTGCGGTGCAGGAGCAGGATAACGAGGAGGAGGAGGAGGAGGAGGAGGACGATGAGGACGAAAGGTATGAGGAGGAGGAGGAGGAGGAGGAGAAGGGCGGGCTGGCTGGCCAGGAGGAGAAAGAGTGGTGGAGGACGACCAGTGGCGCGATGGGAAGATGGAGGGCCACGAACAATGATGAGGAGGAGGCCGATGAGGAAGACGCAGTGGAGGCGGGGGGCGCAGGAGGTTGTGGCAGCACACCATCAACAAAATGGGAAGGATGAGGACAAGCAGGATGTGGAGGAGTTGGAGGAGGAGAATGTGGAGGTGGAAGTCCTGCTCGCGGCTTGTGGGCATGCCCCGCGGTTCTCCGCCGGGACATTGCAGCGGGGAATCCCCATTCCACGCTGCTGCCTGTGATTGACAGTCCCGAGCCCCGAAACCTCTCAGAGGCAGAAAAAGGCAGCAACAACAACAACCTTCTCGAAGCATTCCAGAACGCTCTGAAACTATGTACCCCTGTCCTAGCAACGCGCGAAGCTATGGAATCGTTGCTGGGTTTACCTGTGAATGTGCTCGGCTCGTGATGGCAGGGCCCGACTGCCCGACTTACGTGAGAAACCCGCATCGACTGCACATGATAAGGAGTTAACATGGAATTGTGTTTCGCACTCCCGTTGGCCTGCTCCTCCGAGGAAGAAATGGAGCAACGGACGGGGGACGCATTCTGTATGCAGCTGTATTATGCCATCCGGCTGCTGCGATGGATGTACCCAGGCTGGTTCCGATATTGTATGTATATGTATACAGACCGTCGTGAAGAGAAAATGTCCGACCCTCTGGCAAGCACACACAAAACTGAATTGCAGACCTTGACCTCCATCAGGTCCGACGTCCAATCTTCGTAGTGGGCAATGGGAGCAGCAGCAGCAGCATCAATATCCTACTTCTCATCGCTTCCTGCAAATGCAAACAAAGAGCGAAAGAGAACGAGGGGCCAATGAACTCTTCACTTCGTGGCAACCCCAGCACAGAACAAGTTCGTACCCTCTGTACCCTTCGGACCCTCAGATTTGATGGAGCCAGGGCTGCCCGCTGCGTTGCCATATGCCATGATGTCGAGGCTGGCGGGGTCAGTCCTGATCCCTTGCCAGTCCAGCTTCCAAGGGTTCACGAGCAGGGGTGGTGGAATTGGAACAGAGTAGACAGATAAAAGGGGAAGAGGCCGAGGTGAGATATGAAGAGACAAAACGATTGTCCTTGGGAGGGGCATCACGCAGCAGAGACAGACAGCGGGAAAAGGACGGAGAATGGGGAGCACCCCACAGACCGTATCCACTGCGCAGACCCAAGATTCGCCAGTCCCACCAGCCCTTTGGGCGTGAGTGGTTTAGAGAGCCCGCTCTGTCCTCAACCCCCCTTCGTCCCCTTCGGGGAGGGGTTTACCCCTCCCCCTACCCCCTCCCCCTGGGCCTGGAGGGGGCGGGCCGCGGGTCGTCAGGGGAGTCTTTTCCGACTCCTCGGAGGGCCAAAAAACGACGACCCTCACAAGGATTCTGGCCCCCAGGGGGGGGGACCGTTTGGCGCCTCCGCTCTTCTTTGAAGCCAAAACCATGGATTTTACTAGGGTGTTGGGCCCATTTTGGGCTTCTGAGGGGGCAGCGCTCATCGTCCTTCATAGCAAAATCATTGATTTTACAAAGGTTTTGGGCTCATTTTGT